GGGGGGGGGGGAGGTGAGGGCAGTGATGGGAAGTTGTGGTGGTGGCGGTGATGATGGGCGTGCTGTGGTCGGTCGGGGAGGGTGTAGAGCCTCCAGGGAGACTTTTGTGCTGGACATGATCGGTTCATCACTGTGAGACTGGCGTACAGTTCCCCCCCGCCCCCCTCTTGTCAGCTCCGATCAGTGCAGCCCCGCTATTCTCGGGGACACCCACTCTGGAGTCTAGTCGCTCGCCGGAGGAAGATCTCCGTGGCGATCGGGGAACTTCCAGTCCCGCGCCCCCCCCCCCCGCGCCCCCTGGTGCCAGGCAGCGCTGGCACATCAGAGCAGACGTCAGCCACAGCCGGTTATGGTATTGTAGAATGGACACACTACTTGTGTTCGGCGGCACTTGCCTCACAAAGTGCGGCCTCACCAACCCCCTCCCCGCCCCCCCCACCTCCCGCCCCACACAGGACATCCGGCAGGAGAGCAGGAAATCACAGCAGCGGGTGTGTGTTGGTATTTTTTCTTCTTTTTTCTTCAAATTCCACAGGCAACCGGAAAGTGTGTGCCCCACTCGACGGTCTCACGTGTAGTAGGGAGCCGGGAGGTGGCCGCTGGCAACGCTGCTCTCCACGCGTTGAAAGTGGGCCCGTGCCGCAGCAATGTTGATCCGGGTAGCAGTGGGCTCTGAGAGGCACAGGCCAAGAGGAGAGCCGAAGTTAGGAGATGTGGAAACCAATTGGAGAATAGAATGGAGGGCCTTGTGCATGTGCGTGTGTGTGTGTGTGTGCGTGTGTGTGTGTGCGGACGCACGGATGGTCGGATCGCTGACAATCACCATGGCATACGTGTTCTCCGTGAGTACGTCGATGAAGGCTGTAAAGCGTGAGGTGCGGACCTCCATGCTCTGGAATTGTGCTTGGGATTTACTGCGCGCCATGGCGCGTGCGCGCGTGCGTCAGCCAGCGTGAGCGACAGACGGAGAGGGGGAGGGGAAAAGCACGCGGGATGCCGGCTCAAGTGGCGCGTGTTCGCAACAAGGGAGGACCGCCAGGAGGGGGAACCATACCTGCAACTTAGCTTGAACTGCTTGATGATGTTGGAGATCTTCTCGAAGCGATGGGGATCCGCGCCGCCAATGCTGCCGGGCACGCCGTCGCCAGCATGGCGAACAATCCCCCCGCCGGCAGATGTGCCAGCCGATCCGCCCGGACCAGGCAGACCAGCCGCGGTGCCTGTCTGCTTGCGCTCCGCGTGGCTGATCACCAGGAAGGTGGCTCGCTCGAAGAGGACCAACTCGTCGGCCTCGCACAAGTCGGCCAGCGCGGCCGCGCGCGCTTCCAGAGCCGCCACATCAGGCACCAGGGCATAGACAATCGCCGACCATGCCCGATACAGGGTCTCGTCCCAGATGGATGTCTTGAAGATGGTGGTGTTCAGCGGGAGTGACCGACGCTGGAGCTCCTCAGCGCGCTCGGCGAAAACCTGCACATCGGTGAAAGAGCAGGGGGGTGGGGGAGAGGAGAAAGGGGGAGTGTTAGAAGGCCAAGTATGTGGGCTGCCGAAGCACAGCAGGATCGCCTCGCGCACCGAGTCACGCAGGCCCTCCTGGACAAGATCCATCTTGTGTACGAGGCAGAAGACGCGCGCATCGCTGGAGTGCTGAAGGATGGCCTCCAGGCAGGACTGATAGTAATGCATGTCGCGGTCACGGTCGCGACTCTCCACGTCGAAAACATAAATCAGCACGGCCACATTCCGGAAGATGTGGTCCCGCTGGCTGGCAAAGTAATTCTCCATGAAGGCCTCCTGGCTGTACGCGAAGGGAGGAGGATGGGAAGGAAGCGGGAAGGGGGGGGGGAGGTGAGAGGGAGGGAGGCAGCATACGACGAAGTAGCTCACAGCAAGGGAGAGCGCGCAGCGGCGCAGAGACACCGTGGGAGACGCACCCGCCGCAGTCCCATAGATTGAGGACCAGGTTGCCGAGGAAGCGAACGTGAGAGTACTCCACATCAACTGAGGCCAGGGGGATCAACCGGTCAGAGGCGAGAGGACGCAGGTGAAGGCGGCAAATGCAGTGAAGGCGGGCGCACTGGTTGCCCCGAGACGCCGGGTATCGCGGGCTATGTAGTTGGCGAAGATGATCGACCTCATGGTGGTCTTTCCAGAGCCACTCTTGCCCATCAACAGGACCTAGGAGGGAGAGGAGGAGGGGGGGAGGAACAGGAGGGAGGTTAGATTCCCGCGACGAGCGGCCGACACGCGGGGCGGGACAAAGTAGAAGCACCTTCTTCTTCATGGCTTGTACTGCGTGGGTTTTGGTGGGGGGAGGGGAACGAGTGTGTGCAAATGCGACAGGGGGAAGGGCGGAACAAAAGGGGAGGGGGGGGGGCAGGCAAGGAGGGGGTAGCGGTGGTGGGGTAGTTGAGAGTTCGGGAGGACAGGCCCGACATCGGGGCCTTTTTGGCTGCGACGTGCCTGACCAACACGAATGTGTCCCCCCTCCCCCCGCGCTCGTAGCCCGACCACCAGGTCAAACACACACCACCAGGCCTTGCTCCCTAATCGGGACCAGATGCCGATCCGCCCCCCTCCCCAAGGAAGGGGCCGACGGAAAGAAACAGGGACAACAGACGAAAGCCGAAGTGCCCCAATCACGTATACACATGTGACCTCGATTGCTATGAGTACGACCGCATGACCCCGAATACCGGTGGAACCTGGATATGTGATCTCTCGCTCGCATCTGCCAACGTATGTATACTTGCTGGGGAGGAATATGCAAGAGGCATCGAGGTCGGAGCATCAGGCACATATGGGCGAGGCCTGCACCCCTATTGGCCTGGTCCAGGGCATTCCCCTTAGCGTTGGCAACACCCATCACATGTCCAGTGCCAACCGGTGGCATTCCACCCGACGAGCGCACCCTTGGCTGATCGTGGCGCGGGCTTCTCGCCGCCGGGGTCCGGCGTTCGCGCCGTGAAAAGACACCAGCAAAATGCCCCTTGCCTTGGTGTGCGCTTCGGGGCCGCCGGTCGGGGGGCAGGGGCCGACGGAGGGGCCACCCAGCAGCTGGAGGGGCACGCAGAGAGGGGGGTTAGGATTGTCTGGGCCGGGGCTGGCACACGAACTGCGCATGGAGGTCTCCCTCGACAGCTTTAATATTCCTCCCTGGGGCGAGACCCCCCCCGGCGGGGGGGAGGGGGCGAAGACGCCTGGTGGTGGCCCTCCTTCCCCGCCAGCCGGAGTCCCCGCGCGGATCGGTTGGCATATACCCTGGGCACGGCGGCGCGATCCCCCTCGAGCAGCCGAACTGGGGAGCCCTCCCCCAGTCTCCTGGCCTGCCCCTCCCCGCGGCAACTACCAATGTGCTCCCGGGGGGGGGGGGGCCGCGACGCGGCCGTCCCGGCTGGTCGCACCCGCGGGCAGGCCGCGGGGGGCGGGGCGGGGAGGGGTTGCCGTGTGGCAGGAACAGCATGCGGCCGGGGCGAGGATGGGGAAACTTCATGGCAACGCCGGGCCAAATCCCGGGTAACGCGGGCCTAGCGCGTCGGGGTGCCGGGGTGCCCCCCCCCCCCCCCCCCCCCCCCCGGAGCGAACGCCCCCCCCCGACCCCGCCCAGCCCGGCCCGGCTCGGCCCACCCCGACTGGGGGCGCGCCCAGTGCACACGCGTCCGATGCCGCCCCGCGCCGGATTAAGATTTAACCGGAGGACTGAATCGTCGGCACATGGGGAACTTGGGGAGGGCGCTTGCGGCGCCCCCGGCGATACTGCTCCCGCCCCTGCCCGGGTCCCCCCCCTCCCCTCCTGGCCAAGCGAAGGGGGCGCCCCATTGGCGGCCGTACGCGCGCCGTCCCTCGCCCGTCGTGGTGCCGGGGCCCCCCCCCCCCCCCCCCTCCCTCCAGGAAGTCCAAGTTGGGCCGCCGGAAGCGCCCTCCCTCCCCCGCGCGGCACGACGCGGCGAGCCGAAGCCGTCGACCGGCACCATGCTCGCCCGAGCCCGGCGCGCGCGCGCGCGCCCCTCAGCCCCTCAGCCCCCCGGAACGGGCGGCGAAGGGGGGGGGG